CCCCCCCCCCCCCAAAAAAAAAAATTTGATTCATCAATCTGAACATTGCAATACCCAATCCCAATCGCTCATCGTAAAACATAAGGTTCCCGTACGCATTTTCAAGCGCACACTATTAAAAAAATGAAAATTACCGAATCAGACCCTAATCTCCAGTCTCCGATACCAGCCCCATACTGTAAGATACGGTCTTCCGAAACCGAAAATTTTTAAAAGTCCGAAAATCCGAATTTTGTGCACAGTCTGGCAACACTGTATCGAAAAATTAACTAATTCCTCGCCCCATCTGGCAACACTGTAAAATGCGATGTTGCAAAATTTCACCAATAATTAAATTATTTATTTGTGTCCACCGTCCGGCAACGCTGCTGCGCCATCTTGAAAAATACACTGTTGCATAAACCGCAGATTGAAGGGGCTACATTACACGATTGCATAACCCGATTATTGAAGGGGCAACATGCACTACTTTTACTTTACAGCGTTGCCATATTGAACAATAATCCCTATACAACACTGTAATTTAATTCGTATTTTTCTGCACCATAATGCAACGCTGTTGGATTTTTTACGAGCAAGATCCCCATTTTCTCCCAACCGGCAACATTGTCGACAATGTTGCCAAAATGTTGCCGACGATGTTTTCAACAATATGTTCAGGTAGGTCACTACTTTTTGGCGTACCCAAAAGTTCGGGGGGGGGGGGGGGGGGTGGCGGCGGTGGTGGCGCCCCTGAGGGGAAGCGGGCCCTTACTTTTTTTTTCAAATGGGAACCCCCCTCTTGTGATACATTAGTCGAAAGGGTTTAAAAAAAGAAAATTTCTGGCGAAAACTGATTGTCGATATCTCAATTTTTTACAAAATGGCGGTCGAAAATGGTGGCTTATCCTGAAGTATTCGCCCCCCTCATAACTAATGAACGAAAAATGCTATGGATTCGACATGTAGGGAATGTCCCCAAGTCAAAGGGAACTACATTTTGGCGTATCTAAAATTTCGGGGCGCGGCCCCCCTGAGGAGGGGAGCGGACCTTAACTTTTTTTCAAATAGGAACCCCTATCTTGTGATTCATCATTCGATAGGGCTTAAAAGGGAAGCATTTTTGGCGAAAACCGATTATCCATATCTCAATTCTGAATAAAATGGTGGCGAAAAAATGGCGGCAAACGGGTTTTTTGGTTATTTATCGACGGCCTCGCATGAAACTTGGTTTCCAGAGGATTGCATGAATGAGAAAAACGAATCCTATCTTGGATGTGCAAAATATGCATTAACATTTGTAGGGTGCATCCTACAAATGTTTTTCGTAAGTTGTTAAATATTAGCGTTCATGTAATGTTCGTTTTACCGATGTCACACGTATCCAAGTTATAGTGTAGTGACCTGATGATGATCATAAAGAGATCGAAGTAGCTATCGTCCAAGTCTAAAAAATCAACGTGATCGGGGAAAACCAAGGTAAAATTATCAGTTAATGTGAACGTTGTTGATATTGTTAGTGTTGTTGAATTATTGACAACTTTAATAGATGTAATTATGTTAGATTGTGATATGTATTGAAACTCTGATGATGATCACTTGGTCGAAAAACTTTAGTAGTTAAATAAACAAACAATAACTATACAAAGCCTTGGTTCTTGAATTAACTCACACTAAATAATGGCGTCGTGTAAACACAACTTTATAAATAGATCTCGATTTCATCATCAAACTTGTTCAATATTCTAGGAAGCAAGGCGGTGTGGTCCAAAAATGCAAATAAATTATACAAAACCTGACCGGTGGACTACGATGAACGACGAGTATCGCTATAATTCGCCAAAGTTTATAATGAGACATAGTGCTCAACCTGCAGAAACTACTGCAACCTCCACAGGCAGTCGTAAGTAGACTTTTTCCGCTTTACTGATAATACCTCTGCAAATGAGTATAACAAATGCTCATGCTTATTCAGTGATTTTTAATTCTTGCTGTTAGTTGTCTGGTAATCTGGCGGAGGTGAGGAAATCATAAGTCACTTTTGTGCTCGTTAGTTACACTTTAATTAACATACGAACAACGGCATGCGGCATTACATGCTTAACAGAACGGACAGCTACAGTTAACAGTAACAGACAAGGTAGATAGACCAAGGTGTGTATATATATATATATAACGTAGCCCAAAATAAATACACTGAAAACACATCTGGGGAAAGAGAGGCTTACACATTCAAAAATAAAAACCGATTTATGCATATTATATGCATAGATGAAGCTCATTTGGAAAGCATTAATCTGGTTCATCGAGTTAGATCATGTTTGTCTTATCTGAACGGTATCCTCCCTCCTACTGTGTTGACAAACTTCATTCTTAACATCACAAAAAGGAACTTTCACCTCATGAATGTTACTCATGGATAATTGCGTCAAAAATTTATTGTCTTGTATAACACCGCCTTTGACCATTACCGCCAAAGATTTGTTCCTTTTTTGGAAAAAAGTAAAACCTGGATTGAGAATATTTCTAGTTGTGAACTGCCTGAGTACCCAACCCGTGTTCTCCCCCTTGGGCCATTGTTTTGAATTTCCTATTTTAATGTTAACTCAAAGGATCCGTTTAGGCATGTTCCCTTGGAAAAAATTCCCTGGTAAAAATAAGCCATAAAGGCGATAGAGAAATCTTATGGCCGTCTGTTGGATTTTCTATAGCTTTTATAGCTGGCGATAGGATTTTCTTATCGCCCTTATGGCCGGCGATAAAAAGCTCTATCGCCACGAATGGCCGGCGATAAAAAGCTCTTTCGCCACGAATGGCCGGCGATAGAAGGCTCAATCGCCGGCTATAGCCACGAATGGCCGGCGATGGAACGTTCAACCGCCGGCTATAGCCACGAATGGCCAGCGATAGAACGTTCAATCGCCGGCTATAGCCACGTATGGCTGGCGAGAGAAAGTTCTACAGCCGGCGATAGAAAGTTCTACAGCCAGCGATAGCCACGAATGGCCGCGATAGAACGTTCTGCAGCCGGCGTTAGCCGTGAATAGTCAGAGATAGGACATTCAATAGCTGGCCACTTGTGGATAACGGCAATAACCATCCGCTGCCAAAACAGCCATCTGTAGCCGGCAACAGAATGTTCAGTATCCGGCGATTGGAGATACGCGTGTGCACGAGGGGCAATTAAAAAAGTAATTTTTTTCGAAAATCATCATAAGCGCCAGTGAATCTATCCTGGTTTCTTTTCTAAAAATATTTTTCTTCAATTTTTTCTCAATAATTCTTACTTTTCCAAAATTTGATTTGATTTTGATTTTTTTTTTATTTGAATCGGCCATATACACTGTTAAAAATCGTTGATTCCGTCCAACGGAAAATCCGGATTGAGAATGAACAGGGGAGTGAGATTCAGCGCATAGGTGCTGAGATGTGTCGCATGAGTGCGCAAAGCACTCCGCACCGGAGCTTCAGTTGGGCCCTAAGTCACGCGCACCTAGGCTATCTCTCTCTCGCACTAGCGCTATATACTGTCTCTTCTTCCCTTTAGGCCTACCAATCCAATGATGAAAATGAAAAATTTAAAGTTTAAATAAGTAAAATAATAGAATAGAATAGTGGAAATAATAGAGTAGCAGAAATAATAGAATTACAGAGACAACAGAAGAGAAATCAAATAAAGTAAATTAAATATATGATAAAATGAAGTCAAGGACTAAATTGAAGTAAAAAATTAGAGGGAGCAAGGAGATGAAATAAAAAAATGAGGTGAAGAAAAAATAAAGTATAAGGGAAGAAACTAAATGAGGTTAAAGAATAGAATGAATTTAAAAAGTAAACATGAAGAAGTATTAAAATAAATTACAGTAAAAAATAAAACAAAATAAGGGAATAAGAAGTAAATAATTTAAGAAAAAAAATGAAGTACTTGAAAAAATAAAATAGAGTGAAGAAAAAAATAGATTCAGCAAGGAAATAAATCCAGTAAAACGATAAAATAAATTTAAAAAATATAGTAAAGTAAAAAGTAAAATAAATACACGGACAAATCCAGGCAGATTGAAAATATCCTAGTTTCCCGTTCAAATCGACGTTAAATATCGGTTTTGCGTCACATGAAGGCAGCATCTGGTATATAGCTTAATGGTAAGGGTGTTCGGTTTGTGTAAGGCAGGTCCCGGGTTCAATCCCTAAGGTAGGTAAAAATGTCTAATCTTCAAAATCAGGTAAATTGCGTCCCAGTAGTTTCATTATTATTATTTTTCATGGTTTCAAAATTTATTTCCACAATTAACCCTTTTCCACCATCCCCTAGCTGCGAACCCCTAAATTTTCTATAGCCGGCGATTGAGAATTCCTACAGCCAGCCATAGGAATTCTCAATCGCCGGCTATCGAAAATTTCTATCGCCAAAAGGCCATGTTTCAATTTACCATAGGATTTTTCCTATGGCCGGGCTATAGGTAATTTGTATGGCTTATTTTTACCAGGGTTATCCTCACTATTGAATCTAAAGTCAGATTTGAGTTACCGACGGTTGAATCTCAGATCAGGAGCAATGTTTGTCAGATTATCATGAATTACCAAAACCAAGTGAAGGAAGTTGGTGGTCATTCCTTTTTGCATACCTCTTCCACTAACAAATTTAAAGAGTGTTTTTTGTCAAAAAGTTTATGGAGGACATTCGCGTTACTCACAATTTTCTTAAAAAGAATAAGCATATTTTGGTAGTACGTGCTGATAAGACGAATAAAACTGTTATCATTGATAAAACTGATTACATTAAAAAAATGGAAGTTATGCTCACTGACACATCAACCTACAAACCCATAAAAAACTCACTTGTAGGTACCTGCTCAGAGCGGTAAAATTAACACCGTTCTTAAAAGTTGGGTTGACAAAAAATTCATTTCCAAAAATACAGCAGAAGGTCTGAAAATTTCTGCACCTTTCGTTTCCAGAATTTATGGCCTGGTTAAATTGCACAAACCTGGCAACCCTTTGCGACCTATTGTCAGCACCTACCATTACTTCAACGTATTATGAACCCTCCAAATTTTTCTCAAGGATTTTGTCTAATATTGTTGGTCGTTCGGAGTATCATGTTAATAACTCTTTCCAGTTTTTTGATGAAATCAATGGTATTGATATCCCTGATGGTTTTCGGCTAATTTCACTTGACGTTACATCAATGTACACCAACATCAGCGTGATTTAGCCATTGATTGTATTAATAATCGTTGGGATGAAATTGAGCAACACTCCACGGTTCCAAAGGATCAGTTTCTTCACATGTTACGTGCATGCATTTCTTCTACCGTTTTTCAATTTCAGGAAACTTTTTACCACCAGATACAGGGACTTGCAATGGGTGGTAGTGTAAGTGCAGTTTTGGCTAACATCGTAACCCAAGTAGCATGAATTGCAATTTCATTGCAATGGATTGTGAGTTGATTGCAATTTTTGCTTGTTACCTATACGTTCATTTGAAGGCGCTGAAAAAGTTGCAATTTTATTGGAATGAACTTACAAGAAATGTAGGTTATGCTTGTTGCGTAACCTTCTTTTTCAAGGCACTATAAAGACTGCAATTTCGGTGCGATCATGTTGAAACAAATTCACGCCATGTGCCTGGCATCCAATTTTCTAGTTGTTTTAAAGTTTTTTCGACTTAAATGTCTCACCTAACCCATATAGCCCAACATATTTTGAAAATATTGTCACCTTTATCAAAATATTTTCATGGCAATCTTGTAATTAAAATATTTTCAAAATATTTTGAAAATATTTTTAAAACATTTTAAAGGAATATTTTGAAAATTTTTACAAAAAATATTTTTAAGATAATTCAAAAATATTGCCTGTAAACATGCATGTTAAAAATATTCCTTAAGAAAGTTTTGAAAATATTTTAAAAATATTTTTTGAAAATATTTTTAAGTTCTCAAGTTAGTATGTGGTGTAATTTACACCGGTGTAAATTTAGTGTTAGTACCTATTACGTGATATCGAAAAAAAAGTCAGACAAAAAAATATGAAAAAAAAAAATAACACGAAAAAAAATAAATAATAGGCAAAAGAAAGAAGCCCGAGAAAAACAGCGTTAATCAAATCTATGATGAAAGTTGAGCCGCGTACTGACGCAATGCATGCTATAACAGCCTTAACAGGCGTGATTTCAACCCAGCTCACCATCAGCTCCCTGTGGCTCAGTGGAAGAGTACTCCGCTATGACATTCGCGGGTCGGGTTCAAGCCCACTCAAGGGCGTTCGGTATTTTATATGTACTGCTAAACGTCGTAGGACATTAGGTAAGTATGGGTTCGAATTATTCTAATTTCCCCGGAAAATTTAGGGGTTGAAATTTAAAGGTCGTCAATATTGAAATTTCTTTGCAAAAAAAAAAAATTGCAACTTTTTTACAATAAGGCAGGGGGTCAGATGTTGTAAAATAATTGCAATTTTCTTGCAAGAAAGTTGAAATCATCTGGAAATTTTATTTCATTTAAATTGCAACTTTTTCGTTGCAAAATGCTACTTGGGAATGGAGGTATTTTTTAACGACCAATGTCCTGCCATACAGTTCACTCTAGAAGTTGAAAAAGATGACGGCCTCAACTTTCTAGATATGTCTTTACTACGATCAGCTCACTTCATTCATTGTAAATGGTATCAGAAACCTGTAGCATCAGGCAAATACCTCAATTTCGCGTCCGTACAACCATTTATTTTCAAGAAAAATGTGGTATTAAATTTAGCACGTCGAGTGGTCGGGCTAACTGACAAAAGTTTACGATCAGAGGCTATACAAAAGGGGAAATTACTACTTTCACAAAAGTGCTACCCTTCTCAATTTATTGCTAAGACTTTTGATGCGGTCATAAAAACCCTAAGGTTGACCGATGC